TCTAATACGAATATCGAATACTATAAATTTAAAATAAGATTGTTCGCGTCAATGACCTCATTCTGTCGAAAAGCATTACAGATTTCAACAAAAAATATTATTTTATATCTTAGATTGAGATTTAAAATATGAAATATCTGTTCCGTCTCTACAGTTTTTTTTTTACAATTTCAGCGTAATTACGTCACAGTATAAAGCGGGTTCATACTTTCATTCGCATTTTAAAACGTACCGAATTCTGTACCTTTTTTGCTGTATAAAATACACAAGGAAGGCGGATCCGATGGGCCAATGCACCGAATTTTATACCAAGGATTACTAATGAATTATTTTTTTCTTTTTCGTTTTAAAGAACTCTCTAACTCTTTGGAATCTTGGTTAAATGATACCAGTTATCACCGGGTGATTGACTTCTATGGTGTATTATTTTATTACGACTGTTTTTATCTAAAGTAAAACCGACCGATTCAATCAATAAACGAAAATATAAAACTCTTTGAACCATATTGACAATAGGTAAGGCTGTCAGTATCTTGCTAATATTATAGTTAAATAGTACAGTAAGTACGTACACAACTTTTATTTTATAAGTCAATTTACCACTTTTTAAAACAAGGAGGATGTTTATTACGTCATTGGCATTGCTATTATTATTTAATCGGAATGTTTTCAATCCAAATATAACACGATACTCAAATCGTGAGTTTATCTATTTTTTTTTCAGATGATCGGAAGTAAATTCGACTAATTTATCTGTGGTGTTGTAAAAAATTACAAAAAAAAAATACGGTGTGTTGCCGTTGCAATATTATAAAGCCTTGGCAGTAATTCAAATCGTGTAAGGTTCTCTCGATATATGATTCAAATCGAGATATGCTTTAGAAGTAACATTGTTAATAGCATTGTTCTTACCTTATTATTGTAGTTCAAACATGTATTTTTGTTTTCCTACGTAGTAATAGAAATAGGTGTGCAAAATATTAAGTCTTTAGGCCTAGTAGTTTAGGCTCTGCTTTGATATAATTCTTTCTCTACATACTAATAAAATTGGAGTGTCAGTATGTATTGTTTCAGAATGGATGGATTGATAAATGTTTGTGTGTGTTGTGTCCAGAAAGGATAAACAAATGTCGTTAAAATTTGGCATAGATCTAAAATATAGTCTACTAATACCATTGAGGTTTATTCAGCGTTTAGTATACTAAACTAGTTTTTATGGTTTTGTATTGTTATAAAACTCGCGCGGACAGAGTCGTACGCGACAGCTAGTGTCCTATTATTACTCTCAATACTTCTCGAATTCTTCATTCTTCTTGGAGTTGTTGGTACAAAGGTCATCTTGAAACTTCGCGTTAAATATAAGCTATTACATTTATTTTATGACATTTACGGAATACTTAATTGTGTTTAATTAATGAAATTCATTGCTTCATAATATTAAGATTTAAATCAAATTTATTCCGTTTCTTTCAAAGTTGCAAAGCCATTACTAAAAAACTAAATTAATGCGAAACGAAATGATCGTGCAATAAAATCTCGTGCGTTTTTCTGCAACGATGTATTATATTGATAGATATCATTTAGCAACAATAAATTAAAACTGTTATAGAGATAGTAGTTAATTAAACTAGCTGAATCCGCCCGTCGTCATAATTTGCAAGAGAACGTCAAAAATCATAAGACCAATGTCAAATAGTTTTATTAAAACCGAAAACATTTTATAACCTAACTCTAGCGCACAGTGCGGATTATTTACCAATTCTTTTTTAATAGATCTTTGAGCCATAAAAATTCAATAGCGTCCTCAGGGTGTAGTTATTTCAATGTTATTGTAGAATATAATATACTCTTATTTAGACAATTACATTTACTACGGCTGACGATTTCATCATCCCTACATACATCTACGTTTAACAACTTTTAAATTATTACAACTATCCAGTATTCAGCTTCCGTTGTGACTTGTCAAAACAATGTAATTTATGATTTTTATATGTAATAATAAAATTGTTCTCGTAAATTGAAATAATTCCGAGCTACTGTGAAGTGCATGGAATCGAAAAAGTAACAATTAATTTTTTTGTGGACGAAAACAATAATAGTATTCCGAAATAAATTGTATTATGTTATCAAAATATTTAAATGTAACTGAAGTTGAAATTAAGATATAAACGAAGTTGCGCCAAAAGTTATGAATCTTAATAATGTAGGAATAATTAAAGTAAATTATTCTATATAATTAAATAATTAAAGTCAATTCTTACTTAGGTCACTATGAAAAAACAATTGAAATATATTAAATATTTATATCACAGTTGCCTATAATGGGGTATTTTATCTTTGTCTGATGTTTTTATACTTGATATACAAACTAACTATCGCTCGCGACTTCGTCCGTGGGGAAATTAAACTAATCTGATTTTGGTTCAGTTCACATGAAGCGTAGAGCAGAGCATATTTTAATGCAAACAAAATTGAGCTTTATACAATTGAAACAAGGTTTAGTTTTTTTACATGTCTTCTTACGCTAGCTGTTAAGAAAAGATGTAGTTAAAATATAGACATTTCAGAATTTATGCATATGGCATACTAAATAGTGTTGTGTTCGGTATTCGGATTGCCCTTAAGGCCTTACGTTACCGGTAACTTTATATTTAGTAAATCAACTTAGTTATATGACCTAAGAATATCATACGTATAATTATTAACCACAATTACTTGTAATTATACCGGATAAATTGCTATTTTCCGTAAATTAATTTCCTTATTTTATGAGAGTGTAACCATTGCGTTTAAGCAGTTATAGGGATCAATTGGCAGTTAAAAACTCATATAAGTCTTTATGATTAATATATTTTTTAATCACTTAATAAATGTGTTTACAATTCACAAAAGAATATGTTTGTAGATATCTAAACAAGGTTTTCTATATATTCTTTACTAGCTGTTGCTCGACGTCGCCAGCGTGAAATTAAAAAAGAAAAAAATGTTAACCATTTAGCATATGTTACTTACAGATAAATTACCTTTCTAATGATGAAAGAATTTTTGAAATCGGAAAGTAGTTTTTACGTGAATCGAATACATACAAAAATATAAATCTTTTCTCATTAGTACTAGTTGTTCCCGTGCGGCTTCATCCACATGAAATTATGAAAATTTTATTTCATTGTTAACATTAGAAGTTTAATCCAAAATATTATCCCCCTAAGTTTATTGGCGAGAAAATATATAGCCTAAAGCGCGACGTAAGTGTAGGGCTTTTTACTAAAAAAAATTATTCAAAAATGTGCTGTAATTGCTGACATCTTAGGCAACAAAGAAGTGTGCGTTTACGCTTTACTATAATAGTATAGAAGACTAATATAATAAAGCGTAAATACACACTACTTCGTGGTGTAAAATGTCAGCAATCACAGCATATTTTTTAATAATTCTTTCTTTAGTAAAAATCCCTACACTTACGACTCGATTTAGGTTATATATTTTCACGCTATTAAACTTGGGGGTAAATAAATTTTCATCGGGGAAAGAGACCATATATTACAAGCTGACAACATTAAGAAAGCGAGGTTTTTAAGGATACGGCAATTTTGACATTTGCAATTGAAAAATAATCGTATGTCCTTTCAAAACAATTAGATGTCGTTGCACTTATATGATGGAAATATTTGCGTACACAAGTCATGTAGATCGTTAGTATAATTGATAACTATAATACAAACACTCGATGATGTCGGCGTTTATTAATGTATTTAAGTTTTTCTAGAGTAGTCTTTCGACGTAATTGATCTATGGCACCATGAATCGAGAACCTTCTTAATGCGAATCAAAACAAGGTATGGCTCCAACTGTGAAGCAGTAAAAAACTATAGTCTGTACTTAATTTGTTCTGGTTCAAAAGAATGTCTTAATTAAACCCGGTCTATGCAGTAGCTATTATTTTTTTTTGTCATTTGGTCAGGACAAGTGGTAATCCATATCTATACTAATATTATAAAGAGGAAAGATTTGTATTTTTTGTATTTGTTGAAGTAACTCAAAAACAACTGGGCCGATTTTAAAAATTATTTTACCGTTAGAAAGGTAATTTATCCGTGACTAGCAAAAGCCACGGTTTTTAGTGTTTTTTTTCTAATTCCACGCCGACAAAGTCGCGAGAAACAGGTAGTCATTCGTGATATTAAGAGTCTGAAAATTTGACGTTCCGTACTCAGGCCAGTCGTTCCAGTGAAAAAAAAAATCTTCCTCGCAGCAACGTTCTTTATTAGGATTATTGTACAGAAGCTGTTATCGAAATTTGTTATTTGTTCAGTAATGTACTAAATGCGACTTACCCGAACTTACTTCATCGAGATCCTCAATCTGATGAAAAGGAGTTCTTAATTTTTACTTTTAAATGTCTTGCACTTTCTTTAATATGCAATTAGATATGGCATTTTCCATTCCCATTAGAGGAGTAGTGTGCAAAGGTAACTCTGTTTTTGCGACGCTTAACCTTTGACCATCTAATGTAATTTATCGTTTAATTTACATGATACATACAATTAGTTGTTTATAAAAATTATTTTTTATTAAATTTCTTATTCAGATTTGTATCCTTTTTGCAGACACGATAGCTAAAAAACACTCAAAAAATTGCAAAATGTAAGCAATATAGTACCTTAAAACTCCTTACTGCATCAAAATTAACTATATTTTTAAATTCTTTCAATGGTTGATGGTTCTTTCTTAAAAAGTGTGATTTTAATTCTTGCACTGAGAATCTGTGCCGCGAATCTCCGCACTTTGAACATACAAAAACATTTTTAACCTTATACATTTGTCGATATTTTTAAAGGGCGACAGTTTCGAAAGTATTTATAAGAGCGATTTTGATAGGACACGTTTTTATGACAATCAATGCGATGCTGCGTAGCCCTTATCGTGTTTATGACGTCACAGATGGTAATGATATATAGCCGGGTATAGTTGCGCGCGCGCACATTACCAGTCCTACGCGAGTGACCAACGCATTGACAGGCAACGTCTCACATTTCGCGCAAAAGGTAGCCAGGTGTGGACGGACACTTTTATTCGTACAAACTTTTTTTTGAATATACGATTAAGTGTGCATTTTCATTTAGTGACTTGTTATAAACTTAAACGGTAAGTGATTTTATTAACCAAATTATTATTAAGTTGATTTTATTTATTATTAATTCTAATTATATTAATGAAATTTTTTTATAAAATGAGCAAATAGACAATGTAAAATATTTTTGCGACTTTTTTTATTACGGTTTCACGATTATTATCTTATCTCTCTTATATTCTAATAGCAATCTTAGAAAGCTTTGAGTAAGTCGAATTTTGTTTACAATGGCTTTTAAGAGCTTGGGAAAAGAATTAGAAAAAGGAATCTGAAGCATAGTTATGACTTGTAAAACGACATATTCCTATATGGCACATATTTATTTAATATGGTATAATTCATATTACTATATTTTTCTTTTCTACGTAAAAAAGAAACTCTAAAGCTTTATTACTATTTGGTATATAATTGTATCACACACCTTATCTATAAAACTCTATACATATGTAGTTGCGTCTATAATCGTATCTGAGTTGATATCGGTTAAATTGGTTCGTTGTATTCATGTCGTTTAAACCATCTTTTACTATGACCTAGATGCACTAAAAGACAATTGCTCTGGACCTTTGAGTACAAGATAGTGTAACGAATCTAAAATTACCTCGTATTACTACGCGAAAGTTCCCTTTTTGTCCATTCACCGAAGGGTTGACATTGAAGAGAAATCGTCTCATATTAAGGACGGCATACACGGACCTTAGTTTGTAACAGAAAGCCACCGACTCTACAATCTATCAAAAGTTTCAATAAAATTTGTTTAGTGGTATAGAACAAATACAGGACAAAATCAAAGATATTGATTTTCAATTGTATGATGAAATACGTAATTATTATTTATGAGTTTCCTTAATTACAACTTTAATAATATCATTATTAACTGACCATAAAATGTGCAATAAGGAGAACCAGATTTATAACAAGTTATAATGTAATGACCTTTGATTTAAATAAAATGTCTTATTAAGTAAATGTATTTTAAAATATCTGGAACGTCACCAGATTTTAATTCATATTATAATAGTAATTTATTGTTACATTTTCAATTTAATTTACTTCTTGATTGTTTAATCAGACAAGTTAGGATAACAAAAGTGTCATTAAAACTGCTCTTTGATTACTAAAATATATTCATACTTCTTAAAATATGTATAAAACACCTTATCTTACTAATATTATAAATGCGAAAGTTTAGATGGATTTATAGATGTTTACTAGAGTTTAAAGCCTAAACTTCTGAACGGATCTTGACGAAATTAAGCATAGATGTAGATAGTTTGAAAGAACACGTAGGCTACTATGCCTTTGTTTTTATTTAATTCCACGCGGACGGGATCGCGTGCAAAAACTAGTATGTTATATTAAATTTACGCGTGTAACATATAAGGAAATTCTAGTATTTTAACTTTATACAGGTATTTTTTGACCTCGTTTCAAAAAGGAAGTTCAGTCAATTATTAATTAATATATATCCTATTATAATTCAAATTTGGGATGCAAACTATTAAACACTATTTGACCTCTTAATGTGTGACATCGAGACTGACCTTGGGTATCTTAAACTTGGAGTTGAAGTGTCTATACATATGTAACTCTGCAATCGTCGACCTCTAGATAGTTATATTGGCCTTAACTTGTACTTGGGTAAAGTTCAAATAGATTTTCGCTAGTCATCGATCTCTTGAACCACCATAACACAGTGACTCGCATATTGGATTTCGCAATCTATTTTCGTCTATAACTTTATTTCTTCTACAAATATTTTACGCTTGTATTAATAAGATACTGTCTGTGATATATTACATTTTCCTAACATTATTCATGTATGTTGCCACTTTTAAGATAACAAAAGTCTCAACATTTTTCATGGGTTACATTGTTTTCGCAATCCAATAAGGCTTTAATGCTCTGATACTTTTACAAAAGTCATTGACCAAGTTGCATATTTATAAAATAAAAATAATATACAAACAATTCTCAAAAGTTATTAAGCACAAGGTTTCTATAGATTATTTCGTTTTTCGATATATTGATGTATAGTTTGACAGCGCAAGTTACATTGTGATTATGTTAATACATTCCAAGTTACAATCGTTCAGTATAAGTTAAAATGTCTAATCAAATATTCATATTTAAGTAATTGAAATCAAAAGTGATATGGTAATGTCGCGTAAAATATTACAGTAATTTTTTCTATTGGATAATTTCGAAACACTGATTTGCAAATGCGTACTAACAGATTGAGTAATTTAAGTTAACACGAAAGATGTGACTAAGTTATACGTTACTTAGCACGTATAAGTACAAATAAGGGTAATAGTAAAGTTATACAAATATACACGAATGTACGTATGTAGTAGTGTTTGTCAATGTGCGTATATTTAATTAAATTTTGTATAACTTTTTTCATTTTTCGTTCAGTAAATCTGTCTATCAGCTAGGCGTGTCAGGCATCATTGAGTTGGTTGCTTATTTTGTAAAGAAAGTTTTCAAAGGGGTTAAAACAAGTACAAACTTCATTTACTAAATGCCATGAATGTACAGAAATAGCATTGGTTTTTCCGTGCTTCGGTCGTTGTCGCCCCACGATTTGAAACCTTTTTTTCATGTGGGCACATTAAAGAACTGGAATAACTTGTTACCTCAAAGTGGATTGCTAGATTTGCAATTCATTTGCGATATTTGCTTTTTAATGATCCATAATACTTTAAAGTTTCTTCTTTTAATTCAAAAGATGTTTTATCCTTTTTTTATAATGTCCTTAAGTAAACTTTTGCCAATGGGCAAAAAAATTATTAGTTGATATTGTTTGTTGAATATGATATACTGTGAAATGTTCTTGTTCAATTAATATAACTTAACCTTAACCTAAACATACGTATCATAATAAAACTAATAACATAGAATTAAACTGGATGGTTTTATAAGTGACCATGAAAGAGTACCATGACCTACCTCAGGCTGTTGCCGTCGTAATTACATCAATTTGTAATATTACTAAACGCTCGTATCGATGTCGCCATTATATCATAGGCTATTTAGTTCGTGCTCTTAATTTACGAGTATGTAAAAAATTAATCTATGCAATATTTCCCCGTGAGTCAACTTCTAGTTTTTTAACCTAACTAATAAATGCGAAGAGTTTAGATGTACGGATGGATGTTTGTAACCTAAACTGCTGAACGGATCTCGATTAAATTTGGCACAGATGTCGAAGATCGTCTGGAAGAGTACTTAGGCTATTTTTTTTTTATTTCCACGTCGCAGGCAAACGTAGTGTATAAGAAAAAAAAGTAAACAGAAAAAATATAACATCCACTTTCATAAACCAAAGGGATAAAGGTAGATAGAGCTATACGTTTACAACAAATTCGCCCTTTTTTCACATACTCAAACCGAAACCTATTTCCAATTTATACTTATAGTAATGTTATACAGTGGAAATATTTATATTTTTGTATGTATTGAAATAACACAAAAACTACTAGGTCTATTGCATAAATTCTTTCACTGTTAAAAAGCTATTTTATTACTGAGATAGGCTATGTTTTTTTATTCTTTTTTAATTACACATTTTGCCAAGACGCGAGCAACAGCTAGTTCCTGATAATTTTTGAATCGCTAGTAAAACTTACAAGGAAACTAACTATATTACTACTCATATAATAACAGTGAACAAGTCTATTACTATAATAACTAGAAACAATAGGTAAAGTAGACCAGATCGGATATGACAATTATCCACTTGGAATTTACTCGAAACATCTATGTGAAATCGTGTAAGAATGGAAAAACACGCTGAGTAATGATAAATTACTTGCTCCAAGTTCTTCCAGTATCACAATCAGCAACGGTATTCGTTTACATATATTTGTGTTTTAAGATGGCATTACAATAATTACAGACGCAGAATAATTTATCGATGGAAATTGTGGTTTAGTTCCTGCATTGTTTGTTTACGCAGAATACCACATCCTTTTATAATGGACGAGTTGCAGATACTAGTTCACTCCGCTTACAAGATCTCTATACATAGCTTATTGTTTATACACAGTAAATTAAGTTAATGACACATAGATAAATATGTTGCGAGCTATATGTTTCGCATACTTGACTTTAATACCTTCAAGATTAAAAATACCTAAAGAATATATTTGGTATTATTAGACATTATTCGCATTAATATGTGAATGACAACCGAATTCACACAATTCATTCGGACCTAAAAAAACAACCGATCGGTATGATGATGGAAATAATACAAATTGATTTAATGTTCCAAGTTTATCTTAGAAGTATGTGTAAACTTTTTTTTAATATCCCCAGATTAATACAACTGCGTTTGACAAATAAGCTTAATGGTGCATTTTCGTAATTTCTTAATAATTTTTACGAGAAAACCCATTTATATTTGAGATCGTACAATAACAAAAACGCCATTGCAATAACTTTTTGTGCAATTCAACTTTTAAAGAACTAAACGGAATTTATTTGAGGTACTCAAAAATAATTACATGAATCTCAAGCTGTAAAGCTCGTTGAGTTCAAATAGCGATCGCGTCAGCTGGTGGCATTGAACTTCCGGCAAAGCCTTTCCGAATTCGGCCGGAATGCGCGTGCGCCGATCGCCGCATGTTTCGTAACATCTCGTCGCACCACTGCGACTCGACATCGCCAATTAAAAGATTTTGCAATTGAAACTACACGACAGCGGCTTCAAGGAGAAGTTAACATTAATTATTCAAGTTTCTTATCACAATAAAAGCATATAACAATGAATTGAAGGTCTCTTTATTGTGGAACCGTCCGTTGATGTTTCAAAAATCGCACAACTTTGTTTCTATGATGTCGCAAAAGTGACAGCCTTAAATATACGACATCTGTGGAACAATAAAATATATTTCTTTTGTAATAACTCAGATCAACACTCAGTAAGTCATAGAAAATACTAGACTATGCTAAGTAGATCAGTAAACATGCAAAAAATTGTTTTCCTTTTCTTCCAATCGACAGTAAT